TTTTAAGATGAAAATTCAAAGTCAATAAAATTATGCATTTTTATGCTTAAAAAAATGAATTTAATGTATGTTTGCTCTCAAAATTTATTGTTTTGCCCTATATTACTATTTATGTCTATTTCTTATGCTTAACAAGTGCGTGAAATGTACCTAACAAGTGTCCGGCCCATATTTATTTTGTACCACTAGTGTGTGACACACATGTATTGAGCTAACAAATGTCCGAAACATGAATCAGTGTCTTTGCTCAAATTGTAGTGTCTGTGCTTCTTAGCATCTTTAAACTGTCGATGATATAATCATTTCTATTGAAAATGAGGGAAAAAGTTCTTATCTGAGAAGAGGAATGAGGAAGAAGTGAATGAAACTAGATGCCAATTTCTTCAAGCAACTATTAGATCCCCATTTTCTTAGCTGCTGATATTTACTCGTTCATCCTCTAAAATCTTAACATTCTGCTTTTCCATCCTTGAAAGAATCTTAATTCTGAAGCCGATGCTCAAGCAAACTTGGCTATCACTCTTGCTGGTAATGCTTCTCTTAAATAATTTTAGTAACCGTAAACTTTACGAGTTACTAAGGTGATCTTTCCTATTGCAGATGGCGAAGTCCTGGAGTATGAAGAATAGTTAGAATGCACGGCAGAATATATCTTACACATTAGCACATTTTTCTGACGAATGCATATTTATACGCCAATCCGTTGTATGCTACTATTCCTTTCCCAAGGTTGTCGAGATCTTTGGGTGTTGACCGTAACTCGTCCAACTGGAATTCAAGTTGTGACCTTGCTGCAATGCAGAAGTGCAGTTTACTGCATATCTGAGATAAAAACTCTTCTGGTTGTTGTGTGATTCAATTTCAATTGAAAGATTATCACTGAAATGTTGTATTAATTTTGTTTACATATTGAAAAAATAGTAGTCTTTGAGCAGATATGCTTTGTATTCTTTGTGGAACCTGTGGAAGAAGCACAGTTCAATACCAATTTTGGGAAGGCTTTAGGAAAGTGAGTTCAAAGTTCATTTGAGGATGAGTTTTTAGGAAATGTGTAATAATGTTGTCGCATACTCATGAAATTTAATTCCTTTTATAGTTTGAGTATTAAATTTAAATTATTTGATACATTATTTAATTAAGGACAAATGGGTAAATTTACACTTGCATGTTGTAAATTGTAAAGTGGTATATGACAGGATCCTGTTCTTCCACTATGTGGTTTGTATCTTTCGAATGATTCAAGACTTCTGTAAAATAGTATTTTGCTCCCGTCGTTGTCAACCTTGATTTTGCAAACGAGGAAAGATGTTTTTTGGATTGGAACACTAAGGTGTAAAAATTTTGGTACACGTATACGCTTTTTGATTTTTTTACTTATGAGGTCTAGAGTAGGTGATGTCTATTTGATCTCTGAAGTTTAAAAAGAACCTTTTTTTATTTTGGAGTAGATGTCTATTTGGTCATTGAAATTTCAAAATAGATGCTCTTGGTCTTTGAAGTTTCGAAAATGATTCTAGTTCCTATCCTCTTTAGCGTAGGGACTAGAACGAAAGAAGGAGGAGCTCTCCCAATCTCCAACGATTCTCTTCCTTCTCTCCAATGAGGGTGACTAGAACGACTTTTGACGAGGATGACGACAGTCGGTGGGCGAGGATAGGAACGACTGGCATAGTGGCAACGTTCGCTAGAGATGGGGAAGAGAAAGGAAAATAGTACAAATATATTATTAAATTGATTATTTTGTAAAATCAACAGGTTAAACCACCGTGTTCATTTTCACATTAGTCAACTAACTGTCAAAGAAATTCCCATCGTAGTGGACCAAAAGTATTCATTTTGAGACTTCAAGGACAAAAAATAAACACCTATTCCATACTTCAACAACCAAGAGTGTTCATTTTAAAACTTCAAAATCGAATAGACACCTACTCGAGACTTCAAGGACGAAAAGTGTATTTTTTCCCTCTTTTTTTAGTACACCATGTGGGAATATATGATTGAACCTCCAACCTTTAGAGAAAAGAGTAAAATACCTTAACTATTTAGATAATACTCATGTTGGTAATTTTTACCGCTCTTTGAGTCGAGATTAAAGCATTATCCCTTCAACTCTTAGGGATAACTACACAAGTAGTCCATTTAGAGCTTATATTTTCATTAGTGTCCATTCTTAACTAAAAAGTTCACAATGGTTTGAAGGCTCACCCGTTTGTAGTAGAAGGTCAATAAAAATTACACAATTTTCTATAGGTAGATATGTTATATTTTTCCAACTGTTGGAAGACACCATTGGAAGGACGCTGGAGGAGGCAGAGTGGGAGAAGAGAAAAATGGGGAAGTGTTTGAGAGGAAGTTTCTCTTAGTTGAAATCGGGGAGAAGTTTCTCTTAGTTGAGGGAATTGGCTACTAAATCGGCTGCTACTAGAGAATAACGGATTTCCATTGATGGATTTTCCAGAAAGTTCTAATTTTCTAAAAAAAATGTGCTACTAAATTAAAATTTTTTGCCATGGTAATCAAAAGTCGTTTGAAAAACAAATTGAAGCAACTGGTGGATTCTTCTGTCACTTGTGATTTCAGTGGGGCTTTGTTTAAGTACTATCAAATTTTGTTCAAGTACAACAAGAGAGTTCATTGGTTTGCAGCAACTGGTGGATTTTTCTGTAGATCATTCATATTTCTACTTGGGCAAGTCCTATTATTATGACMTTTTTCATTGCATAGTTTGCAGGTGTATGTTCTTCGAGGGGTTGAATCGTTGGCTTTCCCGTCAATATCGGGACAGTTTCGCCGATTGTGACCCTTTTTATTGCAGATTCTACAATGATACTGCCTCAATCTGCTATTTTCATTAGCCATCCTATCTCCATTGATCAATTTCATGCTATCCGACTTCGGGCAGTTCCTCCTGTTGTGGCCCTTTACATCACATATCCCACAACAACGCTGCATTGTCGCAGTGATTGGTTTACTACTCAATATAGACCTCTTACAGGTCCTTCTGTTATGGCCCTTMTCTCCACATGCTCGACATCTGAATCGCCTATCGAGGTTGCCAATAAGTTCGGGACAATAGTGTCTTCGATGCCCTTCACGACCGCAGTTTGTACAGTAAAATTTTACTCCTACATTGAAAAAGAAGGCAGTCAATATCAGCTCCAGTATAATGTACTTGAAAGAAGGTGAGCGTTTGTATAACGTGCTGATCACTTTGGTCAAATGTTTATTTTTCTACATCAATCTAATCACTTGAAAGCATTTAACAATAACACTAGCATTCTTAATTATAATGAAAGCTGAACCTAGGCAAATAGAAATTTGAATACAAAAATTGAACCTAAGCATATACTTGCTGTCTTAACTTCTCTATCAACGAGGAAAGGAACTTCGAATAAGTCTAAAACTGGAACCTAAATCTAGTCGTGCTAAGAATTTCCATCGTACAACTATATATTATATAGAACAAATATGAAGCCTCCCCTATCAACTTGAAGCCAAAATGCACTAATACAAATAACTTCATTACTTTGTGAAATCATAGTAACATAGATTGCTAATCTTACTGTAACAGTGAGTAAAAACATCAAACAAATAGTTAAAGATCTTTCTTTCTTTAACGTACCTTGCTCAGTTTTGATTATTTTTTTCATCATATCTGTCCAAAGTTAGCACAAAAGTGAAAAAATGGAGTCGATCCAAACAACCTTAGCCTTCCTCTGAAAGGATGGTGTAAGAGCACAATGGGCAAGAACATCATTTTTTGTAAAAAATATGGTAAACAAAAGTGTACAGCATTAAAGGCCCAACCTCGAGATTTGCACGAGTCACAATTCAAGATGATTAATGTCTTCCCTACTTCTTTTAAATAAAAATATATTGCATAACAAAATACTTTGTACATCTTGAATAGACAGTAAAAAGCATATAAATAATGCAACTACACGTCTAGGATATACATATTATTTTCAGCATAGTGAAAATGCAACTTGGTAACTAACTTTATATTTATGAGGATATTAATAACAACTTATAATGAAATGATGCATTAGCATGCAGGAACAAGTTAAAAAGACATTGAATATAAATGTATAAAACCATAAAACCTGACATCAAAAGTTTAACATGTTCCAAACCAATCTTTTGCTTCATTTTCATTAGTGGAAACAATTCAGCAGACAGATACAGAAACGACAAAAGTAATATTATGAAGTTTTTAGCTGCAACAAAAAGCAACAGAATTGGAATGTATTTTGCAATTTGGTACTTAATGATAGATATAAAATACATCCTGATATAAACTTATATAGTGTTACATCAATCCTCAATTAACAAACAAAGATCGAAAACCTATTCTATCAATTTAGACACCCTAGCACATGCTTCATTATTATGAATTAATCTTTATAACATTAACCTAGAAAATTCAATCAAATACAATTACAAGATAAACTTATACGATAAATATAAAATATATCCGACTATTGAGTTCCTGTAACTACCCAATTGGTACCTAGTTGTAAATATATATTATATCTGCATATATACAAAAATTCATACCTAAATTTTGTACCACAAAAATCACATTTGAATCTTTTTACAATATGGATTAAGAAAAAACATAACGGCAGTCTACAGATTGTATTTATTCACCTAAATTTTGCACCACACAAACAAAAGATTCTAATACTTCTTCATCTAAGATAACATTTTTAAACTAGTTAAACTAGATATGATTTATATCTGCATATAAAAAAATATTAAAGTTAAAATGAAATTTATATTTACTATTAATAACTTTTCTTCTTTAAAAAGATCTTATATTGATATGAATTCAACATAATAACAAAAAAAAAATTTAATATATACGAAATTATATTAAAAAAATACTAAATTAATAAAAAACAAATTTATTATATAAATTATATGAATATATTAGTAAGGGCATTTTTTGAACATTACATAAATTTACAACATTCCAAAAATAAATCCTAAAAAATAAACATAGCTATCCAAATATTCTCATCCTTATAAATTTTCGTACAAAACAAACATGAATATCTGAAGATGTCAGACATCTAAAATTTTGGGCATCTAAAATTCCCCAACTAAGCTCAAGGAAGGAATGAGGTATATGAGGTGAACTCTTGGGGAATTATGCAACTAATTTTCAAGGTTATTTATCCAGAGAAACTGGATCATTTTAACTCTTATTCATACTAAATCTTTAGAAACTATTAAATCTCTTATTGTTCAAGATATTTGTCAAATGATATCCTTGAACTCTTATCTTTCTCTTCCCTTTCTTCCAGGAAGAAAGAAGCTCACTGTTTTTCTTCATCATTAAGCTTTGTTGAAAAATCATGGTTTCTATCATTAGTTCTAATGTCAAAAGTTGTTCTCTTGTATTCAACATTTTTGTCAGTTACAAAGCTGATGTTATGAAGTAGTTTAATCAAACGAGATGCACAATGCTAATAAATTACCTTTGATGATTCTCTAAACTTGTACATGAGATACATCTAAAAAAGCGTCCCCCACCAAATCTGATATGGTTGAGAAATTACCTTGATGCATATATCTCATATCAAGTGAAGACATTCATTAAAAAGAAAAAGAAAACATAAGCAAAGAAAAAAAAAAGGAAAATAGTTGACATGTTTCCTCCCATGTTGACAATACTTTTTTCATTTGATTCTTTACTAAATATTTGCTGATAAAAATGATGAGAGTAGACAAATGATAATATATTTGTAAAATAATCGAAAGACTTTTTGGGATTTTTTTAAATAATGTTTTTATTTAAACTTATTTTTAAAATAATGCTACATTAAATAAAATTAAAGAAAAAATACTTCTTTTGAAACTTATTCCAAAAACAATGTCTTTGAAATTAGTCCCCCACTTGGTCGTCTCTTGAAGAGACGACCATAAGGACGTGGCGCTTTATTGGCCCCATGTCTGATTTTTAAAAAAAATCAAGGCATGGTCGTCTCTTGTTGGTCACGGTCGTTTCTTCACGGGACGAATTAGATTTTTAGTAAATAATAAATATTATTATTTATTATATATTAAAAAGTAGACATTTGTTTGGGATACTAATTAGTGGCACAGTGGATGACTTGAAAAA